TGCAAACACTTTTCTGTTATGCTCAAACGATTTCGAAGCAATTTCCAAATTGAGAAAACGGTTACGTTATTTGTGGTTACATAAGGATATTACAACATGATAAAAAGCTATTTCTTTTAAAATATTATTTAGTTAAGATTGAGAAAAAAGATCAGAGATCTTTCATGATTTAATAAATTATTTTATTTATAATAACTTGATAATACCAATAAATTATTTGATAATACCAATTTGACATAATCTAGCGTAATTTAGTTTTCATTTGAATTTATTAAAATTTGGATTTGCTAAATGAATTTTGATATTCATTATCGAACTTTATTGTTCTATAATTGAGTTAATAACGTTGACATATCTAAATAGCACCTGTTCTAACAATGACTTTATTGTTGTACGCATAAGAAAAGCGCAAGATTAATGATGCCTTAATGACTATACGAACCGTTTTGAAGCATGACTGTCTGCTAAAATATAACTCAATTCCACGTGATGGATATTAGTGCCCTTTTACATCTCATAAAACTTTACAATATCAACTTCAAAAACCTATTTTCATAAATATTGATAAATTATTCCCTACACTGAATAAATGTCATATATATTTGCGTAATGAAGTCATTTTATAATCAAGATGTGAAGTTGGAAAATAGATAATGTTCATATTCAAAAATACATATATTTGCAGGATGTAAAAAAAAATAGAATGTTAATATGCTAATGTTTAATATTAAAATAAAATTAAAATAGATTTTGCACTTGTTGTGTTAAATTGCGAAAAAAGATTATTTTGATGATACTTTAGAAATTTGATTATGTTTGTGATAAAAATTCTAGAATTAGCTTTTATATATATATATATATATTATGGAGGAGAAACGTACATAATCCCAGCAACTTGTAACTTTTGAAAAACTTTGTATCTCTAATGAATATTTCAGAAATCTGCTTTACGATTACGGAATGTTGCGTGTCTAAATACATACGTGCGCAGATATGTGATCAGATAACATTTATGAGCAAGTCTATATCTTCCTCCCTCTTTGTTTAAATTTTTGTGCATATACTCTTATTATTATGTTCATGCTCCAAAGATTTTAATTTCTATAACAGTAGTCTCTCTCGGAATATTAATTTTATAACCGAATACAATTTATAAAGAAAAAAGAAAAGAGAATTAATTCATCAAGCTCTTTTATCTGATACATTTTCCGTCGCATATTAATATCATATCAGCTGATAAGAAACAGTCATAAACATTTTTTTTTATTAATACAATTTCGAGTTTATACAGTATTGTGATTTTACTAAGATATTTAAAAATCTCGCTATTGAAATATTGTTGTAATAATTTTAAATTCGTAAATGAAATTTGTTTAGAATTCTGTTCTAGCTCTTTTTATGTTTGCTATATGAAATAATTTTAGATTTACAAAGATCCTAAAAGTATCATTGAATCGTAACTTTGATCAAATGTAAAATCGAGATAGAAACGTGGAAAGTTTCTGAATCGAATTATCTTACATCTGAAATCCATTGAAGCCTTTATAGGGTAAACTATAAAAGGGAAACGATGTAATTCTTATCGGCAATTAACGAAATACCTGATAAATAGTGTAGAACTAAATTGCAATTTGTGCGCGCATTTCTAATTATTAAAATATCGAGTTGAGGCACAATATCATTTGGAGATTTCTATAGAAAGCGACCGATTTAATTAATATATTAATTTAAATATGCAATTTAAATATGCATTATACTTAAAATATTATGTAGAAAAATTTCCATCGCAGTTTACATATTTTTTGCTAAAAATTCTTGCATCTCAAATAATTAAGTTTTTTAAAAAAAGGGAAGATATTTAAAATTAAAAGATCACTAAATAAAAACAACTGACATTATTCATGATTTTGTATACATGAAAAATATCATCTGTAATTAGAATAGTATCCATAATAAGATACATAAAAATTTAATTACAATAATAACGAAATTAATTTTAGTTAGAAGATATTGATATATTTACACTTGATTATGAGATTTTAAAGTATTAATGAGTAATTAGGATGAGTATGTCGAAAAATATTATGATGATATAAAAGTTTCATGAAATAATCTTGTTTATACTGCGATCATTATTGCCTCTTGTTAAGAATCTCTTCTTCTATGAAGTTTGAATGGATTGGTTTCGCATGATTGATCCGCTTATATTTATGTTTTGATCTTCTTATATTTCTTCCGTATCCATTAATCAATGTTTAGCGAAAGTAGTGGAATATTGTGTAACTCCAATCATGTCGTTAACTTTCTTCTTTTCCTTTTCGATTCGTATCCCACTGAAAGATAAAAGTTTAATCATAATTATAAGTTATTTCTGTATTACTCAGTGAAAGATTTGTATTGTCATTGTATTGTCATTGTATTGTCATTTGATTGTATATTTAAAATTTATTTTACAATAATACTTTAATAATTTTTGAATAATTAAATATTTATATTTTCGTATGAGATATCAATCTGCGAAGTATATATCATGTACAACTGAATTAATAGTATTATAAAGAAAAAAACAACGTAGATAATTTTTTGAAACATAATATTTTTTTACTATAATCTTAAATATTTTTAAATTAAGAACTATTATTTATAATTTATCATTTGCTAAGAGAATATAAAGTTTGTCGAATATTTTCCTTTCTATTCCAAATATCAGACGATATCCTACTGTTTACACAAAAGTAGATAATTGAATTCTGTATATTTTCTTCAAAGAATAATTTTCAAAGAATAATCTGTAAAAAGAAATATTTTATGTGTCATTATTTTATTATATCATTATTATACAATATGAACATTAAAATTAATTGTATTATTTGTTAGTACAAATTATTTTATATCTTAATCTATTAATATCTTATATTATTATTACACTATGATTATATACTGTCTCACAATCTCGACTATTTACATCTCTTTTTTTTTTATTAAAATTGAAGCAATTAATTTTTTTTTATATCGATTCCTTTTTATTTATTTAACTATGTGCGTTAGCTAAAATAGTGAATGATTGAGTTGTGCCAAATATAGTGGCAAATGTGATATGATTAATGGAAGATCAGTTTAAGACAAAATTTATGCACGATACTCTTTTGCCTGCTGGGGATATCAAAGCTACTGCAGACAAATAAATCCAGTCGCATTCCTTGACGATGAATTTCATTCGTACTACGCACAGAAGGGAACGAGATTTGGTTTGTAGGGAACAGAATGGGTCGCCATGATATTCGCATCAACGTGAAATGACAAAGTGTTATATTAAATTAACGTTTTTGGTAGAGGATCATCAAGAAAATGTACAATACTAATATCCTATATGATATTTATTTTTATAATGTTCGCTGACATAGTAAAATTGCGAAATGTAGAGATGGCAACTGATATATCCGTAATACCATGAACATTAAAATATTTAGAGACTCCTACCGTAAATGTGAGTAGCATGATAACGATGCAATTTTAAATATTTAGTAATACCATCATAAAATAATGTCGCACGACATACATTCTATTTTCTCCGAAGGCTCGTTAACTGTACTAGTTAATATTTCACAATTTATATACTTTTTTATATGTTTATACGAAAAAGAGAACAAGCTGCGCGAAGAGCGACTACTATTAATAACCTAGCAAAGTTAAAAATGTTTACTGCGGATTGCAATTCATATGATACTCGCGGTTGTAACGACGGTATAATTTTGAACACTGCTTCGTACTTAACACTGCATCTGACATTTTAATGTTACAATCATCCATGTTTTAGCCATACATGAGAGAGAACTTAAACAATTCTTGCTAAATTTACACTCAACAAAACGTTACGTCAATATTATGTAAATTTCACATAACGTATATATGGTAAGACATACAATATACATATGTATATATTTTTTTTATAATACAAGGAAAAA